TCCGTTTCTTTGAGCAAGAAATGCATGGCGAAATATTTTGAGCAATTAACATGGTTTCATCGTATCTTTGTGTTTTCATATGTTGTAGAATCAGCAGCTATTATTATACTCTTTTTTTCTTCAATTTCAGATTTACTGTTTTACAAAATAATTAGAATGTAGACTTTGGATCAAGTTTTAAGTTAATTTTTTTTAATTTTGCAGATTTGAAACTTGACTGATTTCAAAAAAGAAATTTGAAAGCTATTGTTTGTTAATTTTCATTACTTTTTTTTGTATATTTCATTTTAACTGAATGATTATTGTGGTAATCATGACGATTTCCGATATATTCATATGATAACTTCATTTTGTCTTGTTTATTATTTTCAGTTTTTCTTAAAAAGGACTAAATTAGTGTTTCTGTGAATTTTGCAGTCCAGTGGACACTTTCAACAACAGCAGCAACAGCAACAGCCGAGTAGTGGAGTACATTTACCGAAAGAGAACTCTTATGCCGCTGGTGATAAACGTAATAGTAACGCTTCCGCAGCTAGTGGTATATCGGGAGCTAATTCAGAAAAACATGAACGAGGACAACTTGCCGATTCCTTTTCTAAGCTCAATGTAAGCTGTACGGAAAAAGAACTCATCATCTTTTAAAATTTGAATTCCGATATTCAGTGCTCTTTTTGATTCTTTTTTTTTCCTCTTCATATAAGCACTTCTCACCTTTTGTCTTATCTGTTTTGGTTTGGGCTACATTTTTAAAAGGAATTATCTTCCTCAGTGACCGTTCATTTATCCATTTCGACAGTTTCTCAAGTTTTTTGCGAAATTTAATTTGATTTCTTCTTTGTTTTGGTGCTTCTCTAACCTTAACACTTGATTGCGTGCCGCGCTTGTTTCAAAAGAGTGCATGTCAAAATCGTGTTGAAAACATCCGTAACTACTTTCAAGATTTTTTCTCTTGAATCACACTCGTTCTTTACTATTAATTTATACACCATTAAGGAGGATAGGAATATATGGAAAGCATTCTCATTTTCATTGCTTAATTGATATCTCTTTTCAACAAAGAAAGAAGTTTTTACGTTTTTGCTATGCATATGTTATCGGTCCTCCATAATAATATTCAAATTGCTGATTTTTTGAAGTGAATTAATGCGAAGTTTTCAACACCCCTTCTAAGTTTCACATATTATTTCAGGATTTATGTCGCATAAACAATCAATTACTGATCGCACTAGGTGTTGGTCATCCAAAAATTGACCAGATTTGTACATTACTTGCACGGTACGGAATACATCCAAAAATGACTGGTGCTGGTGGTGGTGGAAGCGTTTTTGCCTTCTTAAAACCAGGTATCACAAAATTCATGTTCTGTTATGTTAATATAATTTGTAACAAATCAATTTATTCGCAAATTTTATTTTTCAAATTATTCGCAAATTTGTCACCCAAGTATGACGTAAAGTATTAAAATAAGGATTAAAATAAGGATACATTTTATCGGTTTTTGAACTATGGGGTACGAGAAAAGAAATAGGTAATTGGATAACTGTTTTTTTTTTTCCACAGTTTTTGCTCATTATCAGTTAGCTTGAGATTACCCACTGAATTTTCTTCGTCTCTTCGGATCTATATGCGCTTAGTTATTTCTCAGTATTTTAATTATCACTGATTGCAGATACATCAGCGACTGTGTTATCTATGATCAGTGATGAGTTGACAAAACTGGATTACGAATTATGGCAACCCCCGCTTGGTGGTCCCGGAGTAGTTTGCCATAACAGTAAGCCTGATCTCTTTGTTGTGCCCAGCACAGTGATTGGAACACCAAGCGTCACAACGAGTACAACTACCGATTCGTCATCTCATTCAACTCCTTCATTTTATCTCCATGACAAGAAAATTACGAACTGATTACTTTTATTGCGTTCAGCAATTCAGCTAATAGTTCGTCAAAGACAAAAATACCTATTTGCAGAAGCACTTCTTTTGTAAGCGGCAAATATATTTAAAAAAATTGAATAAACTGATGGGCTACATAAGTTAATTTAAACTTTCTTCTCATTTCCTTATTTATTTCTGATTTTGCATGGAAGATTTCAAGGAAAAGGATTGGAGCAAAACATAAAAATTGAAAAGTATTGCATTGGCAACCGAAGTACGTTAGATCTATGAAGATTATTTGATCTCCTGGGTTCAATAATAATAAATCACTGTGTGCTTTTGTTTAACAAGTATGGCGACCAGTAGACTTATAAGTCCAAACTTTGTCTCAAACTTCATTATGTTTTGTCTCTATGAAGATTATTTGATCTCCTTGGAGTCCTTGGAGCAAATTGGAGTGAATTTGCTAGCCTTACTCTGGTCTGCTGGTCTAAATCTTGAGTATGTCCTATCGTAGTAAAATAACAGCGAAGTTTTATTTATTCGTCCTGTTTGGGTCGATTTCATCAAAATTCACTGCATCCTTCCCTTTTCTTCTACCAATTTTTCTGAACAATCCGAAGCGCTATTCCGCAATCAAGTGGTTGCCATAAAATGGGAAAATTGATTTTGTCTCCTGCGGTTATCTTTAGTTTTATCAGTGGTTTTTTTTTTTTTTTGCTTTTGGAAAGAATTCATTTTGCGATCCGTTTCGTTATTACAAACCAATTTAACAGACACTTTTCTTTTTGTTATTTACGGGTAATTTTGCAAAAGAATCTTAAAACTTTGGAATTTTAGGTTTTTTTATTTGATACTCGAATCTTTCCAAGTTCATTGAATATCATGGTGACATTTTATCTGTGTACTTGTAGTTTTGTCAGAATTTCTTTACGTTGAGTATGCGTGCGCCTATTATGTGACATTTATATTCGACATTATGGTGCGCTCATGTAAATGATTTTTTGCGTGTGATTCCCCCGTGATTTGTGATTTTTGCGTGTGATTTGCAGTAATTACTGAACATTACATTCGCTTAAATTCGATTTTTTACTGCTGTCAAAGCATTACGATGCATCTAATACGGCCGTATTTATTGCATGTGCTTGTTCGTGGAAAATGAGCAATGTAAAATTATTAATTAGTGTTTAGATTGCTAAAAATGACCCCCTACATTGCGGATATGCTATGCCCAAGTTCCGATACTGGTAAGTTCAATTCACTATTACTCCCCTTTTCCATTCTGTGGAAGAGGTTGTTTTTCAGATCGTTTTTAAAGAACAGTTCCGATAACTGGTTTTAATTCGTCCCTAACTGATTTGAAAGCCAGAAAGTTGATTTAAATCAACTTGCGATTTGTTGGGGCTGAAATATGCACCTTTAGAACAGTTTTTTGTTTGGGTCTGCTTAGTTCCCCAGTATTTTATTGCACTTAATTCTATATATATATATATATATATATATATTTCATCCTTTTGTCGTTTCTCTACAGTTCTAGTTATTTTTCAAACATTATTCACCAAGAATTTGGCAATTCTAGAATTTGGGGGATTTCAGCTTCTTTTGCTACATACAAGCCAAGGGGATTTTCAGCAAGGATTTATTTATAAAACAATTGATATTTATTTGATTGATGGATTTTGCAGCAGTAAGCAAAGATGCAAAGTGCAAGTGTTTGATGTTGTCTGCTTGCTGTGTCAAATAAAAGATTTTTCAATTTTCAAGGGACAGCGATTTGTAGGCTAAATCGGACGAGTGACAGCGATTAGTAGGCTAAGTCGGACGAGTAAGGTAATGGAGACAAGAACGAAAGATGAGTGGCAAAAAACTGTCAGATCCGTGATAATGTGGAAGCAGATGGGCAAGGCGACCCTTTTTCTTAGTAGTTGTGTTGTTGACATGTACTGTTTTTAGCCTTTTTTTTTTTTGTAGTTAAAGAGGATAAGTTGTACAGTAGTTTTGCACTATTTAGCTATCGTCTACACTGAAACGCATGATATACACATCGTTGAAAAACTACAAACAAGGCTTATTGATTTGTTGTTTTGAGGATTGCTGTGAACTTTGAAAGTAGCGGTGAGATCCCTTCATGTATTAGTGAAAGTTATGTTTCTCCAGATGGAAGTGTTACTGATGCGTTGTTTTGCAGAAATATCGAGTAAAGATTTCATTTAACGTGTCATTGCATTTGCTATTCTAACAGATCCGCGGAACACTTTTACAGAGCAATAGCAATGACTAATTAAAGTGTCACCACATCAGTTACGATGTCAACTACTATAAGCTGAGATAGGGAGACAGGGTAACGATAGGTAAGAGAGATAGAGAGAATAATGCAGAATCTTTTGGTCTAAATGAAATTTTGAAGAAGGCATTTTAAAGAGATGAGGATCAAAATTTAAATGACGGAAGTATGACTTGGGAAATATGGCACTACGGCATTTGATAAATAAGTCAGTTCTCCACTGAAATCATTCATTCATCAATGATAACTTCCAAATAATCTACGATGCTCAGACAATGATCAACTCCAGTGAAGTACAACGCTTCGGATGAATTCTAGAAAACTAATAATTATATCTTAATCTAGTTACTGAATTGGGTGTTGAGTTATTGAATCAATTTCGAGTCAAAAGTATCATCATTGAATTCAACAGCTGGCGAGGAGTATTCTCAAATTTCTGAGGTATTTCTACAGAATTTCCTGAATAAATTGTACAGCTTCTAAATTCATCCAAATAATTACCGAAGTTTGATAAGGCCCGAGTCGTGTTGCAGTTGCATCTAAAAAGTCAAAATTTTTTGGGTATAAGTGTAGGATTTGCGCCTATTTATTGATTTAAATGAAAAAATTTGCATATTTCTCAAGATTTGAATATGTAATGCTCTTCCAAGCAATTTTGGAAGAAAATACGAACTTTTGCAGTGAGCGGCCAGTGTTACATATATCTCTAGTACAATAGATGTATAGCTTCATAAATCGGTAAGTCGTTTCTTCCCAATTCGATATGTGTACTTCAGTTACTTTGGATGTTCATTTCTGAACAACTTATCGACTTTAATGAATGCTCATCATAGTTTCAGAGATGCTGGTCGAAATTGAACAGACTGTGGGTTTCCTAGCCTCGTTCTTGTATGGAACGATTCCTCGTCGGTATATTGCTTCGAAAATTCTGCTATTAAATTCCAACCATTTCTGCCTTGATCTTTGAGAACAGAAAGATTTCTGATCCTGCTGGCAAATAATTTCCAAAACCTTCAGGAGAAATATTACAGCAGAAGGGATTGGAATCAAAAAAAGAAGAAATTAGATTTGTGAGGCAATGTTTAAAATCTCTAGTAAAATGATATGCTTTAATCAGTAAATCCTCAGCCGCATCGACACGTTTGCTGAGATCTTGGCTAATCGGTTACTGGAACGCCTGATGGATCAGTCTCGCCCACCAAAAATTTGCCATTTAGTCGTTAATGTTGCCGGAAAAAGTGACCCCCTTATTCAAGATGTAAGTCCATTAAGAAAAGCTGAACTTCAGTTTATTTTAGTTCGACTTCAACTTCTCACTATAGGTCCATGAAGTTTCAGTGGATATAAGAAGCTAGAAAACCCGGTTCATCTTGTTCGTTTTACCTCAAAAAAAAAACTTTCAGGCAGTTGAAGAAGCTTACATGGACTTGACAGAAATGCAATCTCTTCTTCCCAACAATTTGATTGTTGAGATACGACAAGGTTCCGTAAATGCAGTCAATGCAGATACTGGTCAAACTAAAGCAATCTACCCTGAACCAAAGGCTTTGTTTCTTAGAACTCAAGATAAGTAAGATAAAAACGAATTTATAGGATCTAGCATAGATCAGCATGAAATTTGCATACCCAAAATCAGACCTAGAAATTCGGGTTTCTTTCTCTTTAATATGTCAGAAAATTGGTAATTTATTCCCCTTTAACATACTAGAAAATTGATATTTCAAAAGGTGGACGTCGTTTCCGCAACCGCTCCGCTTTGTCGCCCAATTCGAAAAGTCGTCATGGGCAAGAAACAAAAAGACGTCCTCTGCTGCGTATCGAATATGAATATCGCTGTGTGGGTGGGGAAAATAAACCGGTGAGCTTCAAGACTTGAATCATTGGACCCATGTTCTGATCGAGTTTTGGAACTTTCTATGTTTCTCACTTCATGGCAATCGTTCAGTGTGGGCGGCCATATTTCGAACTGCAACGGGATGATGCAGTCTACACAGCTCAGGCCTTTGCTGCGACACGTTTTGGATCCACCAAGCTTAAAAGTCATCAGGTTCGGCTCCACAACTTGTTTTGCCATGTGTAGGGGAAATAAGTATTCGTGGGAACCCAGTATGCAAATAAGAAAAAACAGGACTCAATTAGCATATTTATGACACCTAAGGCATGTTTTGTGGTATCCTTATCTTTCTTTGACGAATAGAATCGACCGCAAGCAGTTATGATTCTTGGCAACATTTCCAGAACTACCGAGTACTCATCAGAATATCGTCGGAAAAAAGCTCTGACTGTGAAAACGATCAATCAAGAGATTCCAAAGAATTCCTCACATCTAGTAGACTTTGAAAATGGTAACTGATAGCTGAGATTTTAAAGCTGATTATCTAATACTGAAATTTTTTAAGACTCTTTTTAAAAATTGAAAATCCCTTTTTGAGACCATTCTATCAAATAAAAACAGTCCAATGGTTTTATGTAAAAGTCACTTTTATCAAATTATACAAATATTGCTTAAATTTACTT